AGTTGAAAGGAAAAGGGGGAAAAAAGAGCTCAAGAATTGTTAATTAACTTCACTGTTTCTCCACAAATGCTCCAAGTATTAAAAACAGGATTGCTGAAGTGCAAACACCAAGATTTAATGAACAATGGGATGTAAATGAAGTAACAGAGAATGACTTAATCAGGACAGTGGGTTGTTTAATTGTGGGAATAATGGATCTTTGGCAAGGACAAACTAAATGGAACCAAAGGATTTGGGAGAGGTACCGTGCTGAAGAACACGGACTGAGAAACTCCTGCTAAGGGTATCCAGCACTGTATTATATATGCAATATTTTATTAAACATGAATGTCCCCAAATGGTAACCTCTGGGGAAAAAGACAGACTAGTGTAGGCTGGCATATATCTTGAATAAATCATAATGAAGGCATTAAAATTTCTGCAGGCACGTCCCTGTGCTTTTTCAGGAATTTCCTGAGCTGCTGGGCAACAATGGCTCACACCTGTAATCCTAGCTACTCAGGAGGCAGAGATCAGGAGGGTTGTGATTTGAAACAGCCCGGGCAAATAGTTTGTGAGACCCTATCTTGAAAAAAAAAAAAAAAATCACAAAAAATGTTCGGTGGAGGGACTCAAGGAGCGGCCCTGAGTTCAAACCCCACTATCACAAAAAAAAAAAAAAAGAAAAATTCTAATAAGCTTCAAGACTTGCTTATTGGTAGGTGAATGAATGCAGTACTGGGTTTGTCAGAACATTGTTTCCCTGGGTACCAAGATGCTCGTTCTCTCAGAGACAGCGGGCTGGCAAGCTCATTTCCTGGATTTAAGAGTTCAGAAAACCATTTCTCACTTCACTTTGATTACAAGTCAACCTTCTCTTGCTAATTCAGCATGCTTGCTACGAGTTATTGGTTTTTCTCATCTCCTCTTGAAAGTGAGGCAAATGTCCTTTCTCCCATGTGGCACATGTTCCTGGAACTGAAATCCTCAAGCCTTCACGAGTTCCTCTGAAGCTTGCCTACTCTGCTTGAAACACAGAGCAAGGTGAGTGAGGGCCTGAGATGCACCAGCAACAAAATCCAGCACACCTACAGTTTTGCAGTAGGGAGGAAAACAGCAGAACCATGCGTCTTCTTCCCCTCCTGGCTGTCAAATCTGAATTCCTGGATGTTAAAGGAAGCCTAGGTGCTGTGTGTAGACAAGACCTCCCCTGAGGGAGCTGATATTAGGGCGTTTGACTTGCTGAGTGCCCGTCTGGAGTGCTGGACAACTGGTGGCTTATGAATGAGAGGTGGTATGAGAGGGAGGGAGGGAGGCAGGGGTTTTAGATTTTGCTTAGACTGTGGAAGTCAGAGGAATTGTCCTCTGCATGGAACAGAGTATGAACTGCACAGGGCTAATTGTTACTACAATGATTTCATGTATCGGAAATTGGCAGGGTGTCTTTATGTTCTAGAAAACACCCCATACCTCAGGGACACATTCTAATCTTAGAGGTGTGAAACCTAACTTTTCGGTTGTTATACAAGGTGCTGTGTTTCTGAGCATGCAGCTAAACAGGGGGTTGGGGGGGCTTTTCTCAAATGTGTCCTTCTTGCCACCACGGGACTGAGCTCGGTCACTTCAAGTTGCTCCTGTGGCTGCTCTAGATACTTTCTGACTTGCCGTTCCTTGAAAGAATTTACACAGACAGAAGACAGACATACACAGAAGGGGAGAGAGAGAGAGAGAGAAAGAGAGAGAGAGAGAGTGAGAGAGAGAGAGGGAGAAAGAGAGGGAGAGGGAGAGAAAGAGAGGGAAAGGAGAGAGAGAGAGAGAGAGAGAGAGAGAGAGAGAGAGAGAGAGAGAGACCTGTGTTTGCTCCCCACACCTTGTTTTTCAATTATATAAACCACCTCAGGCAAATTTTAGCAAAGCAAGACTCTAAACCGGCTGAGTGTACAGCCTGGGAGGGTGGGGGGCAGTGAAGTGGGAAAGGGGGAGAAGGGAGGGGAGGAAGGGAGAAAATTAGAAAGGCAGGTTGGAGGAACTTGCCAGCAAGGGAATGAAAAACCTTAAATTTTTTATATTGACCTTCTGCTAACATTTTGTCACACAAGCTTAGACGGGATCATGTGCCTTCTCTCTGAGCTTCTAGTATAATCAGACACCATGAAAGAGAATTTGGGACAGGTCCAATAAGAGGCATTAAAAAATCATTCTTAAAGGCCAGGGCCCTAGAAACAAAGTGCCCCACCCTTTACCGGTCTCAACTCTGTCCACCCGCAAAGCCCATTTTGAAAAGAAAGACAGAGTTAATTTTCCATTTGCCTTTTCCCCAGGGTTAGAAAGGGCAAAAAAATTTTCAAGAGTTGACAGGAATTTCTTCAACATCAAGTAACATTTTGATGATGAGTGGAGTGCTAACAAATCAGAAACACATGGTCTTAATTGACTGTGAAATAAATGTTTCAAAATGAAAGGGAGAAAGCATTAGGATGTAAAGCATCAAAAAGGACTCAGCCCTCAGATGTTGCCTGAGGCAGGTGCCTCTCCCCTCATCCCACCTCCTCTCCTCTCCTCTCCTTCCTGTCTAGGGGCTGTGCTGTCACAAAGCTGCAATGCTGCCTGCTCCCCGACCTACATCACTGGCCAGCATTGCTCTTTGGGGACTGTCTGAGGCTGTCTTCTGTTGTTAAACAAAGTACCAGCCTCACCTGTGGCTGGGTGATTGCTAAAGGAAAGAGGTGGACTGAGTTCTCAGTTCTGGAAGTCAAGAGCTCTCACCTCATGCTGCCCTGTGCAGAGTAAGCAAGCCAGGGAAAAGGCAGTGTGGGAGAGACCACAGGAAAGAGAGGAACAGGGGGAAAGCCAGGGAAGCCCACTGAGGAAAATGAATTCCTATAACCTAATTAATTCTTTTTTTCTTTTGAAGCAGTACTAGATTTTGAACTCAGGGCTTTGTACTTGCTAGGCAGGCACTCTACCACTTGAGCCAGGCCTCCAGCCCTTTTTTGCTTTATTTTTCAGGTAGGGTCTCGTATTTTTGCCCAAGGCCAGTGTTAGACTGAGATCCTCCTACTTATGCCTCTCATTGAAGCTGGGATTACAGGCTCTGCCACCATGTCCTCCTCTCCCAATTAATTCTTAAAGGCCCCACCAACTCACAGTAAGGTTACACTGATAATTAAATTTCACCATGACTTTGGTGGGGACAAGTCATATGCAAACCATAGCAGAGACTTTTGGGGAATCTAAAGGGCTTCAAAAGTAACAGCAATGGTGTTCTCCGTGGTGGATACGCATCAGAACAACCTGGAAAGTTGAAAAGTACAACCATGCCAGGGCTCCGCCCCAAGATCCTGATTTAATCAGTCCCACGCGAAGGCCTCCTGTGGGTCCATCTACAACTACATCTGCACCTCTAACAAGTGTTCCATGGGATCTGAATTAAGCTGAGACAAGTTTTACCTAGCACTCAAGAGCCTGGCAATGTGCTAAGTGCTTTATGTAATAAGGGCTCTTTTCATCTTTGTAATGTCCCATGAGATAGGCGGGTGCCAGGCCCACCATCCTCATGTTACATGTGGGCAGAGGCACAGAGAGGTATAGAGTGTTGCCCAGCATCACATGGTTAGCCTGTGGCAGAGACAGGATTCGAACCTGCCTGGCTCCAGAGCTCAGGTTCTTAACCCTTATACTAGCAGTTCTCAAGCAGCCTCCAGGAAATGTGTTAGAAATGCAAAATCTTGGATTGCACCCCAGGTTCACCGAAGCAGAAACTGGGGTGCCAGCTGGCGATTGATGTCTAAGAAGCTCTCTGGGAAATTGGGATGCATGGTGAAGTTTGAGAACCCTGGCCCGGTCTCTCAGCCGCAGAAGGGTGTGTGCGCAGAAGTCAGGACTGTGAGAAAGCTGACTTTCAGCTCAGTTCCTGCCTCTTAGCTGGCTGCTGAGCCCAGACCACTTTAATGGAGGGGTGGGCTATGTCTGCATGGCAGAGAGCTGAAACAGCTGATCTACGGACTATTCCTCACCAGTGGACAAACCCCAACATGGCCCCCGGCAATGCGGTGCCTTGTGCAATTAGGGACTGAATTCTTCCAGGATGACACCGCAGGACTCGCCATCCACAGCGAAGCCACAGGAGCCTGAGGTCCTTAGTGAGCAATACCCAAACCCCTCTGGAATCCTTCCCCCCCACTTCCCTAGTGAGATTGTGAATCAGAGACTCTGAAGAGCTAAGGATCAAATCAAAACACAGCAATCTCTTCCCCAAGCAGAAGTCACAGAAAAGCTTAGAACACTCCTAAGTGATTCTGAGATACTTTCCATGCAGGGGTACCTCTCTGAAATTCCTGAGCTGGTCCTAAATTGGTTTATTTAGAGGGGGCCGTGGGTGGGTGGAGTGGGAAAGGGTTAAAAGGAAGTTCTCCAGTGAGCGAAACCTTCTAGCAGCAGGGCAGTCATCTTCCTGTAGTGATTTAGAGCGTTTCTCTAAAAATATCTATGAGATCACAGTACATTAAGTGCATGACACCAACATTTGTAACTAATCCATGAAAATAAAGTAAGGGCGTCATGTTGCATGGGGAAACGCGGTGGAATTTGTCTTGTGTTACCGTTCTAAAAAAAGACGGCCTCAATTTGGTTGAAATATATCTTCACACATTGTCTTCCCAGAGCAGAGCCATTTGAGAAATTCTGATTGCAATTATAAGCACTGAATAGGGAGTACTTTGCATTTCCTTTGACGATGCTGAAAGCTATAAGCAATCCTGATATTAAAATCTTTGGAAATTGATGAGCACCCCAGGCATCATTACAATGCTTTCTCCCCCAATCGGAGTAATTAAAATCTATTATGTGAACACGTGTTAATATTTTATCAGCCACTGCTTTTAATTAACTAAATGTATGTGGTGCCTCCCACAGGAGGAAGGATGCCAGTTCACTTGAAGTGACCTACCCTTACCCTCACCCTCTAATCCCCAGCCAGACGTCTCTCTGGGTCTGGATAGGATGCTTTAGAGCGAACATACCACGGTACTGAATTCAGGAACCTGCCACAGTAGCCAGTCTTCATTAAGGGTGTACAGCGCTTTGCAGGTGATTACGTCTACAGGACCCTTATTTATTTTCTGGTTCAAAGTTGTCACCAGTAAGTAGAACGGCTCTCCAACAGTCTCCTTGGAAAAGATGCAAAAGCGACAGTTAGCTTTCAGCAGAAGCCATTGCACTTTCTAAAGAATTCAAGTTTCAGTTTATGGCAGGATGACAGGAGACAGGAGGCAGTGTTTTCTAACAATCAGCATGCAATTCCCAAGAAGATACATACTGCTCCACTTGGGATTGGGAGCAAAACCCAGGAACTACTTTCTTTCTTGAGCGCACGTGCACGCACACAGGCACGTGGCACAATCACAGTGCTCCATAGGGTACACACGGTAGTGCGCTGTCATTTCACATTCAAGTTCTTTGATGACAGCCCAAGGCTCACCGCTGGGCTATGCTTATGAACTGTTCATAGAAATGGAGATTGAAACTTTGTTTACATTCCTATTTCATTGCTTTTAGCAAACCAAAAATAAATGACATTTTTTAAAAAAATGTGTAACAATTAGCTTTGGTAGCAGGGATGAATGTAAGCATACTTGAAACATCTGTCAACAAGGATGCTTTTTGGTGTTTGCAGCTTTTCAAGAGGGAAGTAGTTATTTGCAGCTTCTCTCCTCCCCCATGTGCCAGGCCTGTCCCTTGTCTTTCTCCTAGTTTCTTCCTAGTCTGGACCAGAGCTAGTTCCATGTCCACTAAGGCTCTGCCCAAACACTCAGGCCCATACTGCTGGCTTCTATCTCCAAACCTGCCACGTGCACCTTTCCCTGGGTGCAGGGTAGGATGGGCTGTCTCCATTGCTGTTACTGAAATGCCTCAAAGGACGTAAGCGGGCAGCTGTGTGTTCTGCTTTTGCTGCATCTTGCAAGGCACGTAGCTCTGGGCCGGCTTTAGAGCACTGGCTAAATAATAAGCTTCTTATGGTCCACAGACATTAGTCCCACAGGTGGGGGGAGGAAGACCTGCAACCAGGATTGGGGAGTCCAAATGCCTTCGTGAGGATGAAGAGCAGCCCCATGGCATGGGCTGGAAGCAGCAGTTATGAAGTCAAGCTTCCCATCCAAAGTGTCTAGCTTTCAAAGGAGTCCTCTGGCTCTCTTGCCTTCTTTCCCCAGAACAGGTAAATTACCGACAAGCTGTGTTTCGTCTCTCACCCCCACCTTGTCCCTTCCTTTGTACTTACTGTAAGCACATTTGGTCTCCCCAGTCTGATGGCTTCCTCAGAAGGGGTATGACCCCTTCTGTCATCCCTCACCACACATGTTCCACCTTCCCCTTCATTGAGTCTCTTCTTTGGTGCTGGACAGAGGGGGATGTTCAAATTTTTCCAAGGAGGGGAGGCCAAGGGGACCGTCCATGACATTTAATTCTCAGAAGAAACTTCCTTTATTTGGTGGTCATAAGCTCACCACTCTCTGCTCTTTCCCTCCACCCACTTGGGTAATGTCCTGACCACTAACCTAGAGCCACTTTGTCTTCCTTCCTCCAGCACAGATCAGATACTCTGCTGAGTGCCTTTGTGTGGGGGCTGAATGTGCCTGAAGAGGTTGAATTGGGGGCAAGTGGGCTCTCCTGGGCTGTGTGGAGGGACAGCCACTGACTCAAGGGCCTTCTAGTCAGGATTCTCCAGAACTCCTCAATGTAGGGCCTGACTGAGATGGTGACCATCTGGCCTTATACCCCCACCTGTGCCCATCGTTCTAATCACCCCAGAATCCTTCAGGACTCTCCTTAAAACTTCCCATGCCTAGGCCCTTCTGGGTCCCCCAGTGTACCTACCCGACTGGAATCTCTGGAGAACAGGCCTAGGCATGACAGTTTTGAAACCTTCCCAAAGGCATTCTGGACCACAGGGGTATTAAGTTTCTTTATCACCACTGAACACAAGGTGTAGGTGAGCACACCTGCTGAGGACGTGCCTCCCCTCCCCCAGGGGCTGGACTTAGGCACTTGGTAGCAGACGACGGCTGATTCTATCTTCTTAGCACACAGAGAGGTGGCTAAGAGCAATCAGAGCAAGTTCTATCTATTCTATATGCCTTGATTACCCTAAATACAAAATGGCCAGCCCTCAGGACTATTAAGGGGATTGAATGAGATAGGTAAGCAAAGATCTTGGCATAATGTCTGGAACATCCTAGAAGAGGCAGGCCTCAATGAATGGCAGTTATTATTATTTTCCCACCAGGCCTGGGAGTCTTGACCTGGAGGTCATGGAGCTAATGTCACCCACTCATCATCCGTGGGACAGGGCAAGAGGACTGGGGCAGTCAGCATCTCCATCATGGGGCACCTGGGTGAGGGTGCCAGGCCCTCCCTCCACTGCAGAGGGAATTATTCCCCTAAAAGTGAAAGTATTGCCAGCTGGCTGGATGTCACTTCCTCCTGGGTGCTGCGCCGCCCCCTCGCCCCCCGAGTGCTCAACACACTCTTGAATCAGCACTGAGAAATCCTGACCCAGAATGCATTGCTCAAGGAGGCTGCTTGGGCTTGGAGCCCAGATTTTCTGAATACCTCACCCCTCTCATGCCCAAGAAAGCCCTTGAGAGCTCAGAGGCAGAATCACAAGATCCTGGTAGAAAGAGCTAGAAAGGAATTTAAAACTAACGGCCACACCCCTCATTTGATGGATGGAAATCAGATGCTCAGCGGGGAAGGGCCATGGCCAGAGACACGCAGTCAGCTGAGTTGACCTTGGAGCCCGATCTTTTTTTTCTTTTTTTTTCATTTTTCTTTTATTATTCATATGTGCATACAAGGCTTGGTTCATTTCTCCCCCCTGCCCCCACCCCCTCCCTTACCACCCACTCCGCCCCCTCCCTCTCCCCCCCCTCAATACCCAGCAGAAACTATTTTGCCCTTATTTCTAATTTTGTTGTAGAGAGAGTATAAGCAATAATAGGAAGGAACAAGGGGTTTTGCTGGTTGAGATAAGGATAGCTATACAGGGCATTGACTCACATTAGTTTCCTGTGCATGGGTGTTACCTTCTAGGTTAATTCTTTTTGATCTAACCTTTTCTCTAGTACCTGTTCCCCTTTTCCTATTGGCCTCAGTTGCTTTTAAGGTATCTGCTTTAGTTTCTCTGCGTTAAGGGCAACAAATGCTAGCTAGTTTTTAGGTGTCTTACCTATCCTCACCCCTCCCTTGTGTGCTCTCGCTTTTATCATGTTAGAGCCCGATCTTGTAAGACTCCTGGGCCACACTCTTTCTGCTGCCTCCAGAGCTGGCAAATTTTAGGCTTACCAGACTCCTCCCAAGAAAAGCAGGTGATAAACACTGTCTCAGCAGGACCTGAATGGGGCAGGAGTCAGCCATTGAGGGCCAAGACCTGGGACCTGGGTGAGAATCTTGCCATTTCTGCTTAGCATCAGTTGTGGCTGAGATTGCAACTGTGGGAAAAAAAGATGCTTGCCCCAGAAATAACCACTCCCTTCCTCCCCAAAGCCTAGCATGATGGATACCAAATAAACAGAAAAGCAGGCAGATTTCATTAATCTTAATAAACAGGCATTGCCTTGGGAGAGGAGAGAGTCAGTAAAATTTTTTAAAAAAAATTATTGTGCATCTACTTGTAACATTGCATTAAACATTAAGCCCAGCCTATTTAAAGTGCTGTGTTTGAATCTCAACTTAAGTAATGCTGTTAAAACCTGTGGCAGAGCAGTGTATCTTATTCAGAGTTTAATTAGATTTTGAAACTAGCTGCAAATACACAATTATGCTGTTTTGCTACAATCTGGATGGCTGGTGAAATTAAAGAAGGAAAAGAACCTTCTGTACCGAGGGCCGCATGGGGCCAAACAAAAACTGTGTTCCAGAGAACACCCTTATTCTCATATTAATATTTTATCATAATGGCCAACATTTATGGAGTGCTTACTGAATGTTAAGCAATCGCATACATTTTCTCATCTGTGCCTTAAAACAGTCCTAAAATATTCTTCTTTTGTTGATTTTACAGGTTAGACACTTTAGTAAGTGGCCAAGTCTACGCTGGGACCAAGCTGTGGGTGCCAAAGGTAGCTCTGTTAATTGTGGAATCAGCAAAACTTGCATTTGAAAGATTGTAAGGTTTAATTAAATTATACCCACACTCATTACAATCACCCCAAGAAAGTGAAATCGGAGGACAGGAGGCTCTTTGGGGATTTGCTTTCACATGGAACGGCTGGTAAGAATCGACTGCTGTTAGCTTTTAGCATACTGGTGGGTAATGGGTATTCATTTCTAAAATGTTTCAGAAGACTTGAAAACAGTTTGTTCTGGTTGGTGTTTGAAATATTCCCTCATCTCACTACATTTTCTTAAATGGACTGCTGAGGCCCTGGGCCTTAAGTAATGGCAAGGGTGATGAGGTAGGCTCACTCGAAAAATCTTACCTGAGGAAATTCTAAATGGGTGACCCTTGCATAGGCCAGTTCCCATCAAGACAGTTATTATTTCCCCTCTGTCTGCTCCCAGTAAGACCAGGATCAAATGTAGTTAAATGCTGACACCATTGAGCATTCTGGACTTATCTGGCAAAGACACCAGTGTCTGCTAAAAATAACCCCCTATTGTCTTACCTCTGACACTGCCCAGGCATTCAACACCTACCCGAAGAAAACCAGACAGGCAGACGGACATCCAGTTTGTGAGCAGTTTTTCGACCACAGACTCAGTACGCCTTAGCATGAGTTTGGGCTGCATATTGCTGGACTGTTCCATCAGGTCCCTGGTCAGCACCTCCAGGATGCTGGTCAGGTAGACCAGCTTGGTTTGCAGTGCGATGGTCAAGAAGGAGGCAAACAGACACCTGTTTGAAAATAGAGCCTCAGTTAAGCATTGGCTCTGGGAATGTCCTAGAGAAGCTCACTGGGAAAGGGGCTGCTGTCTTTTACTTTGTTTGCTTTTTGTTTAGATTCTAATCTCTTCTTTCCTTAAGTCATCATAACACACACCAACGTTTTTAACTTCAGGACATTTTCTGGTTTACAGTGCTTAAACTAGAGTGATAACAAGAAGTGAGTCTTTTCCCCAAAATTTTTAGGGTGTTTTAAAAATTAAAAATAACACTTCTGCTTTTTTTGATTAAGAATTTGTTTTTTCTTGGTGTTGGGGTTTTTCAGGGGTTTTGGAAGGGGTTGTTGTATGCATGTGTGTCTTCAAGACAGAGTTTGTGTTGGGGTCATTTGATCTGACGTGCAAATGGCCTGTCCTTAAAGAAACCTCATCAAGCCAGGCTGGGCCTGTGGCTCATACCTGTAACCCCAACTACTTGGGAGAAAGAGATCAGGAGGACTGCATGCAGTTTGAAGCCAGCATGGGACAACAGTTTGTGAGACCCTATATTAAGAATACCCAACACAAAAAAGGGCTAGTGGAGTGACTCAAATGATAGAGAGGCTGCCTAGCAAGCATGAGGCTATGAATCCCAACTCCAATACTGCAGGAAAAAAAAAAAAGAAACCTAGTCAAATACCTCTGGGAAAATGCGTGCTCTGTGTCTGCTTAGGACTTTCAAAGTATAAAAGCATCAAGAATACCTGTCCTTCACAGAGAAGTTCTTTTGTTTTTCAAGGGTATGGATGACAGTAACCAGGAAACTTTTATTGCAGATTAGGGCATCCAAAGCTGTGAGACTTTCATTCTTGTCATTGGCATCTCTGTTCTAGAAAAAAACAAATGAACATAACATAACATAGCATAATAAATATAATATAAAAGTTTTAAGTTAGAAAGATCCACAATGGGTTTTCCAAGACAATGAATTATTTAATATTGAATTCATGATCCAAAAAACCCACAATAACAATTCCAAGTAATCATAATGGCGATGATAATGATGGTGATAACACTATGAAAATCAGGCAGTCACTGAGCTAAAAATGAAAACGTAGAGACTTACATGCATATCTTCAGTGAAGATGTGTGTGAAGCCACCTGACTGAGAGGAAGGAACACTTTTATTATTCATAACATCCAAAGGAAATGAATAGTGTATTTTTGTTATAAAACCCAAGTCTGTTTTAATAAAGTAGAGACACTATTTGCTAATCTGAAGAGCCCCTGGGCTGTGCTTGCTGCATATCCTCCAATACATAATAAATAATTATTCAGCGCTCAAAAAACACCAGCGAATTCTGAAAGCCTCTAAGAATAATTATCATCACACATCAGTCCCATTTTTGATAGGTGAAGGTATCACTGTGCACTTTAAAAAGAACTGACTCAAAAGTTAAAGGAGTGGTGGTTGAAGATTACGCAAATGTCAAACCACTCCTGGAGCAACTTGCCTTGTAAGGATAAACCCTAAACTGTGCTGATACATCTTCACAAATCTGAGCCAAGCAGCATCTGCTGTCTCAATATGCACGTTAAAAAAGGGTAGAATGGGGTGCAGGCCTGGTTTTTTCACAGACTGGACACATGACTTTGGACAAGTGATTTAACCTCTCTGTGAGTAAAATAGGAGCAATAATAATTCTGACTTCAGAGGCTTAGGGTGAAAATGAAAGGAAGGCATGCTGAGTGCATCGTAAGTGCTCCACATCACGATTACTTTTTAAAATTCCTAACTTGTGGCAACTAAACCCCAATGCTATTACCCCCACTGGTTTTGAAAAATATTTTTATGCATTATGCTATGTGGCTCCTAAACATAAACTTTGAAATTTGAGTTTTTAAAAATGCATCATAACTCTTATTGGAACTAATGAGTACATTTTAAAAGCATATTGGGTAATGCTTTGAATCAACTTGAATGAAAACATAGACTCAAATATTCAGGGCTTTTTTTCTCTCTTTTTTACAGTAATTGAAACTTTGGGCTATTTTTATAACATAATAAATTTCTTCTGCAGAAATCTTGTTTCATACTTTCTAATTTGTTAGCCCAAACAGAAGATCTCAAACTATTTTGGTCATACTCTCCCCCAGAGAAAAAGTAAAAAACAAGAACCTGGGTTTGCATGTTCTAGTCCTTAATATTTTCCTACTGAATCAACTTCATATAAATGACCAGTCTAACACTGTTGATTCTTGATTTTAAACAGTGAGGTGCTTCTCTGCCTTCTGTATTCTAAGACTTTTTTCCTCCTTTCATTCAAAATTTCCTTTTCCAGGAGCTTAGATTCTCTGCTTGCCCTTAGTTTTTTATTTTCTTCTCTTACTTTCAGAAAAAAAAAAAAAAAAAGGAGCCAATCTAATGAAAAGCAAAGCTTTAAAAGCCAAAACCAACAGGCAGGGCAGAGAACCAGGTTGCTGGTGATCCCTTGGTCGCCTTTGAGAACCTACAACCCCTCTGCGTTCTGCCTACTGCTGTCTGGTAGGGGCTGATCAGAGAAACCCTCCTCCAACACCCAGGTTCCAGGTCCAAAGACTTGGCTCCTGATCAATAAGTAAAGCGCTTAATTAATACGAGGACTTATCTGCATCCTGTCACGCATTTTAAATGGAATTGTCCTAACGGAAAGTTGCTGTTCTCTCTTTTCTTAATTATTACAAATTCAATTTTGACTTAGCTTTTCTTGATAGGGTTCTGACAAATTTACACTTGTTTCTCCTTAGGGCCTCTCTTTTAATGGCTCCTTCTGATTTCAATTTTTATGACTTTCCAGTTGCCTTTCAAGATTACATGTAACTCTGAGTTAAATCAGTTTGATTCCTTACAACTTTTTCTCTTTTCCTAAAAAATGCAACATTGTTGCTGGCTTCTTTTTTTTTTTTTTTTTGAGACATTCAACTTGCGACAGTGTTTCTTGACACTCATCAGTCTGTCTTGCTCTTGATTACTGAATTTAGAAGATAGGAAATTTTCTTTTTTTAGGCCACAGATTACTCCATTCAGCTCTCAAGGGTAATCATGAACTGTAAAAGCCTACACAGTACTCATGTTGATGGCTGAAATTTCTGTTATTTTATTGCCACTAAATTCTTAATGGGAATGTCAGAGAGAGCTGGGAACTAGCACTCATGACGTAATGCTTGTGGAGGCCCTGTGTCATCCTGACCTAGGGATTTGAACTCCCTTCTCCAGGCAGAGCTGCCATAGAAATGGATGAGGCAAATCTTAGTGTCTGGTATTCTTGGAGGATAAGTTAAAAAAAATACAAGAACAAAAAGTTGAAGTCTTATTTACAGCCTTCTTGATTTACAATACCAGGGCTTATACTTGGTCCAAGATATATGGCAGGTGTTTTTGGAGGTATCCCAACCTCTAGACACAGCCTCACATATCATGGTGACCACTTCTAGAATTGTGAGAAGCTAAAAATTGCTTATTGCATGTGTCTGGGTTTCTGAACTTTAGGCTTCTGGCCAAATGTAGCTGAGAAGCTTCTGGTAAGATGATACAAACTCTCTCCCTTGGCCTGGAAAGATTTCAGGCTTTGCTTAAAAGTCTAGATTTAAATGTAGCATTCAGTGTTGATATATTCCAGAGGTTGGGATCTCTCTGTGGTCATAAGTTCAGGACCAAAAAAAGAAAAAAATCAATATGGTGGAGCTGGGATATCGGGATGTGGAGGTGATGGGACAGAGAATGAGTGAGTGAGTACCTCACCAAAAGGCTTGGGAGGGTAAATGAAGAAGGCTGAGTGAGTGAGAGGGTGGGTGAGAAAATGGAGGTGTCAGAACAGAGGCAAGACCCCAACCCAAAGGGCTCCGTAAACTACTCCTCAGAGTGCTAGAACAATTAGTCAACCATTTCGTACAGCTATTTCTACTAAATGAGGCCAATACAAACTGACCAGCTAAAGAAAAACTGTCAAACGGAACCATAAAATCTCTATATTGCCAAAATTGCCCGTTACCAACTCAAATTCCATGTCTGTACATGGAAAGCAGTAAAGGTCTACTTTCCTCCCTTTCAGCTGGTCCTACTTTTCATTTCCAATTGAGAAGTAATAGTGAATAATCTAGAAGCTACAATGTAAGTCAGGCAGATAAACACAACAAATTGGCCAGCCTACAATTTATTGATTTTTAAATGAATTAGCTCACTTCCCAGCTACAAATTCAGTTCTACCCTGGTAGTAAAATAAAGCAAAAAATCATCACTCTGAACTTCTGTCCCTCTTAGGTTTTTGTTACTGGACAAAGAGTAATCACCAGAGACCCTTTGATGGTTTATACCCTAATCAATGCAATTAATAATTATCCTCCTCCCTGTTCAGCTCAACCTTAAGGCTGTGTTTTGTACCAAGTGTATTATCTGCCATCCCTTTAGAAGTAAACACCTTCATTATTATTCAAGACTCAACCTTACGAAAATGATCAATGAACGCTCTTTTACCTCAGGGAAGAAAGTTCTCAGAGCAAAATGTTTATAGTCCAGGAAGGGAATGGTTCCAAAACTATCAACCACATCCAATTTATCCATCTGCAGCTCGGCAAAGCCTGAAAAACAGAATCCCAAGAGCAATATTTTAACTCCACAAACAATGGATAAGATCTGCTGCTGTTTTGTCTAACGTGGAGTATGACCTTGGTTTTCATTAAAGAAGAAACAATAGATAATTACTTGGCTGGCTGCAGAGAAGAGCTGAAATAAAACACAGCCAGGCCAGGTCCTGCTGTTCAGTTGTCTTTTGTTACACAAACAGCTCTCATTACATGGTCCTCTCTAAGTAAGGGTGAAAATTTTAAAAAGTGAAATAGGCTTGTTTTTCTACAAATAAGATTTTAGAGCCTACCATCACGTATCTCCTTCCTGAGTTCACTCTCCAGAAGCTCCAACTGTTGGCTCTGTTTGCGACTTAGCTCCTTCGATTTATGCCTGGTCACCCCCACGGCCGCTAGGGAGACAGAGATGCTGGGTCAGATAGATGCATTAACTTAAAAACAAAAATGAAAAGGAGGAAAAGAAGCAGAGGTAGAGAGACTGAGGGAGCATGAGAACAGAAAATACCATTTAAGAGCTGGATTTTATAAAAGGAAAATTTCCCAGTGAGCATCATTCTAAGGTGAAGCATACTAAAAGGCAACAGAAAAAAAAATTAGCTCATCTTCAAAGTGAAAACTAAATCAAATAACCTTTGCTTGTAACCAAAGATCCCAGTTGACCAGAAAGCAATGAAAGAAGTCGTTTCCCTACAGCCACAGGCCACTTATGTTATTGTTTCATTCTTTTTTCAATGTTTCTAAATATCCCTGAAGAAATCAAGTTGTGTGGCAAATGCAGAAGGAAACCACAGGTGCAGGGCTGGCTACACTAGCCAAACTTGCAGAGTCTTAACAGGTGACATAATGGGTGAGCCACAAGGAGCCCCATCATGGGGACATTGCTTCCTTTTCTACCTCATCTTACTTCAAATCATGCTGTCAGGGAAGTAAACTCAATGGATTCTATAGCATGGGCTTAGGTCCCTGCTTTGTCATTTACTAGCTATGTGACCTTGGCTAACTTCCTTAGCATCTCTGT